TAAACTAACAAAATAATGACATGACACAACTTCTAATGTCATTAATGCCCCTAAAATATTGATTTTAAGTAAACTTACCTACTAAATTGTTACTTTTAGGTCAACTTATCCCTTAATATTTTACAAGATCAAAGGGAAAATTGTCCCAAATCACTTCATAATACATTTATAAAATAAAATTACTTAAAAGCGTTTCAAACCACTTTTCATATTTTAGGAGCGAAATTAATCATTTTTAAAACTTAGGGCTTGTTCTTTTGGAGTAAAACTCAAAAAAAGTTTGAAGTAAAGTTATAACTTTTTTCAAGTTCATGTTCGTTTGTAAAATTTGAGTTTTAACTTGAGTTTTAACTTGAGTTTGGGACTAAAATCTGATTTCAAGTTTCCCTTCAACTCAAGTTCTTAAAGTCAAACTCAAGTTAATGAACAATATTTTTTCTATTCTTAAAAACATCATAACTTTTTCGTTTTAATTTCGATTGAGATGATTTTTTTTCTCTGCATTCACAATGAAGAGACGAATAAAACCCTACTCATATACCCTATTAAAATTTTTCATCACCATTGAGTTTTTATTAAAATACTATCTAAATATAAATTCAAGTTTTGATCTACTCAAACACAAACTCAAATAGATTCTCAATTCAAATTATAACTCAAATGTGCACATCCAAACACATACTCAAGTTACAACTTTAACTCAAATTATAACTCAAGATCTACACTCAAATCACCATAACTCAAAAATGCAACTGAGTATTTGAAAACATGGTACAAAATTCAAAAGGCATTTGCCAAATTAACCCCAATTTTTAAATTAAATCACATTTTGCCACGTCATGACTCCACGTTGGATCAATTGTTTTGTTAACCTTCGGTTGTTTATTTTTCCCTCCAATACCAGAACTAGAAGGGAACATCTCCATCAAGAATTCCAAGATCATTCCTTTCTCTTCCACCGCTCTATATAAACCCCCACCACCATTCCTTCCCATTTACTCAATATTTACATCACTCCCACAGAAAAAAAGAGAGAGAGAGAGACTTATGCTTTCTAGAGAGAGAGAGCGAGAGGGAAAAAAAAAGGAAAAACCAGAACGAGAAAGAAGAAAAGTTTGACAACAATGGCAGATAAACAGCGCATTCAGAACCAAGACCTGATACATCAAAACCCTCCATGCCCCAAATGCGGCTTCTCCGGAGTCGGCAACTCCGATTCCCAAAAACGGCGAAGGCCATTCTCGATCAACTCCGAACAACCCGACGCCAAGAAGCTCTTTCTTGCCTCAGGCACGGGTTCCGGCAATTCGTCGAACGCCACACCGAAGACCGCGCCGAATCCCGACTTGGTCATGCCCTGCTCGGCCACTGGTCTGCCTCCTCGTCCGCCGCCGCGCCGGCTCCAAAACTTGGCTCCCATTTCGTCTCCGTCTCACTCGCCTTTAAAATCTGCTCGGACCTCAGGCTCGGGTTCGAGCGTTTCGTCGAACGCCTCACCCAAGCCGCGCCAAAGCGCAACTCGGCCATGCCCTGTTCGGCCACTGGTCTGCCTCCTCGTCCGCCGCCACGCCGGCTCCAAAACTTGTATCCCATTTCGTCTCCGTCTCACTCGCCTTTAAAATCTGCTCGGACCTCAGGCTCGGGTTCGAGCGTTTCGTCGAACGCCTCACCCAAGCCGCGCCAAAGCGCAACTCGGCCATGCCCTGTTCGACCACTGGTCTGCCTCCTCGTCCGCCTCCGCGCCGGCTCCAAAACTTGGCTCCCATTTCGTCTCCGTCTCACTCGCCTTTGGAATCTGCTCGGACCTCAGGCTCGGTTTCGGGCGTTTCGTCGAACGCCTCACCCAAGAGCGCGCCGAAGCGCGACTCGGCCATGCCCTGCTCGACCATCGATCGGCCTCCTCGTCCGCCGCCTCATGTCCACTCCCATTCTTTCTACGGAGAAATCTTTCTTGAGGACCTCGGCCAACTCTGACAATTCAAAGGTAAATGAACGTGTTTTCTTCTCTTTCCTTTTTCGTTCTTGCGATTAAACGTCATTAAAATCATGGTTAATTAATGTACTCTCTGAAATTAATTAACGTTACTTTCTTGGTTTAATTTATATTTCCTCATCAGGGCTAGTTATCTATTAGAATCATTCTTTGTAGTTTCATGGGTTGTTCTTATTTTTTCTTATTTGCATCAGAATGTGATATATATTGTTGCTCTATTTTTAAGGTGTCTAATTACTTCTCTTTGGTCCTTGTTTTGTTTGATTAAACGTGTTATAATGGTTAATTTTTGAAATTACGGTGACTTTCTTGGTGAAATTTATTTTGCTGATCTATCTACACTATTATTGTTATTATTCTTTTTTTTGTCACTCTGTTACCATTACATTATTACCATTATATGAGTACTTTCTAATTTTTCTCATTTGCATAAGAAAACGAAACATAATTAAAACCGTAACAATGCCACTTTATGGGTTTAATTTATGTTTCATTATGTGGGCTACTTTCTTTTTATTACTACTATAATAATTTTTTCCCGTCCCTAATGCAAAGTTTCATTCGGTAATATATCTCATTTTCCTTCTTTTTATTATGGGCATATGATGTAATATTTTGTTGCTTTATTGTATTATTGTGATTATCATTACAATTATTATTATTATTGTAAAGAAATGAGTTTTTTTTTTTTTTTTTTTTTGGTGCAGAAGCTGCGAAAACTACGAAATTATTGGATGAACGTAAAAACAGCAATAGAAGAGATCTTAGAACATAACTCTTCTTGTATCCATAATTGTGCATAAAAGTTTAGCCGCAATACTTGTATTGTGTTTTTTGTGTACAATTTCTCAAAGACATTGATTTCACCAAACGGGTCAAAATTATAAATTTGTAAAAAATGAGGGCGACCTGTAAAAAGAATCCAAAACCTACTTCATGCAATAAGGAACTTAAAAAGTCATATTACAACTCTTTTAATTACCCACAAAGTCGTTAAGGGCAAAACAATTATTTTGTCTTCAGTTTCAAGTTTTAATTGTTCGTGGATACAACTTATAGATTTGTTGCCGTTGTTGGATTTACTCCAATAATCAAGTAGTTTTGTTCTTTAGAGGTCATTTTACAAGTAATTTACCTCAATAAAGGTAAATATGGTAAATACTTACCTGTATTTATCAATAATTATCCTATTTTTGATTTATTTTTAATATTCTTTGATGTTACATGAGTAGTAGGTGATTGGGCTGGGCTGAGATGACTATTGGGCCAGGTGGTCAGTACCAGCCCAAGTTTCTTAGCTTTATAATGGACAATGTTTGGGCATTATAAATCAGTCTTGTATAATAAATTAGAGAAAATCCACTAGTGCAATTGAAATCCAATCACTTTTTTGGAATATTTAAAGAGTAATTTAATTATGTTATAATTATTATAAGTAGTATAATTATGTAATAATTATTATAATACGTCATATTTTATGTTATAAAACTATACAATAATTATGGTAAGGATTTTAATGATTGTTATTTATAAAATATTTAATTTCTTTTATTATATTTCAATATGACTAATAAGATTATGTTTTATATCCAACTTCTGTGGTTAAGGCAGCGAGCTTTGTTTTGCTTTGTTTCTTTTTTCATTTTTACTTTTTCTTGTTTTTGTTCTTTTGTGCCCGAATCATAGACTCAATTATCAATTTCATCGAAAGGAAGAAAACCACCAGAATATGACAACAGGAAACAACAAATTCATTTCATTTGGTTAAAAGAAAAAAAAATAAAAACAGAAAAAAATAAAAAGAAAGAAACAGCCAACATGCAACACTTTCTATTGATACTACTGGACGGGTAGTGGTAGAGTTATCAGTTATGGACATATTTTGTCCAACTTGGCTCCAAAT